CTGCGAGATAATTCCGATGTCGTCAGCGAATGCGAGAGGACGCGCAAGCGGTGTCAGTGCTGACAGCAGACACCTGAAGATTGAACCAGCTGCACTCGCATGCAGGGCGCTTGAAAGCGGGCAACCTTGTTCGACGCCTCGCGCGATGCAATCTCCAAAAGTTCCCCCTCCCAGCCGAACGCACGCGTATGTGTCATGATACATATGTCGAGCAGCGTGAGCCGCGTGCTCGGGGAGCAACGTGCGCCCCAAGACCAGGAATATCCATGCGCGTGCGATGCCCGGGAAACCTGCAGCAAAATCGAACAAGAATAAACGGCGCGCTCGGCGCCCTGAAACACCGGGTGTTCGAGAAGGTCAGCATCTGTAGAATGTTGTCCAGCATTATCATGCCTTTGATAAATCCCGCCTGGTTGCTGCGCGCGGAGAAGTGTGCCTGTTGTCCGAAAATGATACGCAAAAGCGGAACACACGTCTTGTTGTTGGCATTGCCAGGGAATCACGGGCGGGTCTTAGGAGCTTTCTTTTGCACGGTCAACTGAACGTAAATTTCGATGTTGGTGGCCGGGGGAACCCGTGCACCATGGTTGAAACCAGCAGGAAGGGGGCGTCTATCAATCAACTTCGAATACGCCTGGCCAATAATGTCATTGCAGTGGATGCTGCAAGCACCTCGCCCAGAGCACGGCATGCCGTCGGGGCCAGTTGCAGAATCTTTCTTTGCATCGGATGAGGCCCATCATGTCAGAGAAGTGGACGGTCCTTTCTATGCCTGGAGCAACGCGCTGACGGCGCTCCTGCAGCCTTTCAGGGATGCCCAGGGCACATTAACAACGTCAGCAGCGGTGCGACCATGGCCCCAATGCGCCGCAAGCCGCGCAGCATTGTCGTCTAAACTGATGGGCTCGCGCCCGCCGACGCCCAAGATGCCCGCGAGCGAGATGCGCCCGTATTTCGGGGGCCATGCCTTTAACAGTTCGCGAAGCTTCACCGCGCGATCCTCGTCGAACTGATAGCCGGGAGACTGCTCATGTTCACGAAGCTCGCACGCTAGCATGCGTTCCTGAATGATGCGGATGTGCTCGTGGTGCCTTTCCTGGTCAATGATGCGCTCGTGCCGCTCATCAGTGAACTACGCGACAGCGTCGCGTGCTCTTCCACGCTTTCGCACGACCGCTCAATGTCCGTTCAGGCTGGCGCGCGTGCGATTGAGACATCTCATGAAGCGGCGTGTGTCCTTCTGAACTCCATCTCTGTAAATGCGCGATGTGATTTCGGGGCTGGCTATGCGCGCGCATTCTTTGATTTCGGCAAGGGCCACGGAGGGCTCCCTGGATATCTCAACTTGCGCTCTGGCATCGTCCACCAGGTCTGCAAACTCGGGGCGCGCCGTCACCCACGCCGGCACCGCCATTTGAAACTTAAGCCCATGTGAGAAGCAAACACAAACAGTGACATGATCACTAGGCTCAGCTGCATTGGGGACGTGCCCGACAATGCCAGCAGTAGGTTCAGCCTCAAGGATGGCAGCAGTATAAGCAAATGTGTATATTCGGTCAACGCGCCCAAGAGAGCTGACCCCTTCCCCAAGGTCACCAGACCGATGCGTGGGCTCGTCCTGGGCAAGCTCGAGCTCGGCGAGGAAGAGCTCGCGAACCCGCCGAAGCAGAGCCGCTCGCTCTGGACGCATCGACTCGCCATCTGTCCTGATGCGAGTCTCCCCCGGTTCGAGAAAGAAAAGATCACCTGCCAAGCAGGTCAGACAGTAATTACTGGGTGGGAGGGTAGACGCAACTTTTTCCATCGCAGAAAACTTCTGGGGGCCGTGGAGGGCGGGGTCGAGATGTACATTGTGCCCCTTGAGATCCCCCATAGGTCCTTGAAGCAGGGGAGAGAGCAGACGGCCAGGGACGTGCTTGCGGACCTCCACATTCGTGAAGAGGGCAAGGAGGGAGATGGGTATGCTGATATCGTCGCCACCAGCATGCTGGCTCTCACAAAAGGAACCGTAGCGCGTGTGCGTGATGGAATCGCCCCGAAGGGTCTCGATACCTGTTTCAGTTATATGTGTTCTTGCGCGCGTAATATCGCGTGCGACTTGATGAGAAAGCAGAACTTGCGCGTTCGACTTCTCAAACGAATCGGATAACCATACACGCTGCCGAAGAAAGTTCTTGAATTCCATGTGCTGATAGAGGGCTGCTGCCTGATCTGCCACGGGCATTCTATGTGAGTGTCTGCGCTGCTGCCAGCGAGGGGCGAAGGAAAATAGCGGCCCTCAAACTTTAAATCGCTTCCCAAGGACACGAGAAAAGGCTGCGAGGCGCGCAGAAGAATTAGCCGCATGAACCAATACATATCCAGCAGCGGTGTCACTGCCCAGCAGAACGCTGCGCTGGAACTTGTCATTGATGGTACGCCGCGTTCACCGCAGCAGGCAGGTCTAGAATATGCTTCCCTGTGGGGCCAAAATCGAACAGTCCCTGCACGCAAGTCTCCACAACAACCTCGGACGCAGACCAATCTGCAAGTACTACAAGGTCTATGGTCTCGTCGCGCAGTGGTGTAGCACAAGCCCTGGTACCTGTTGCACGCCAGCGCTGTGGTTGGTGACCAGCAACTGTTCGTTCACATGTCGGCATTGATCTGGTTCCAGATGAGTCCGAGGATGAAGCCCTTTTTCTTGATGTCGCATGGCTGGTCATAGCCGATCCTCAGGTCGTGCTGGGTGTCCGTCGCTGCTTGACCGAAACGATTAGGTTGACCACGGCAGCGCTCATATGATGTTTTGGCATGCTCCCGATGTTCGAACTTGATCGCATAGGCATACCGAAGGCTTTGGCATACCGTCGGCAGTCCGCAGGCATTGATGTCTTCAGGATGAAACAAATGACGCTCGAAGGCGCTTTTGAGCTGTTTCTCCGGGAACCCACGGATCCATACCTTCGACTTGTGTGCGGGTACCGTTGGCCTCATCGTCGCCGTAGGAGCAGAAGAGCTTTCAGAGCGAGCCGGACGAGTCGTGGAACAACCGATAGAAACCCAAGAATCTGAGCTCCTCCGCTGCGCCTCGACCGTGCGCTGGAGCTCCGCATAGTTCGCCTCGAATGTCTGTAGTCGCGTGGGTGCAGAGCACGTGGAAGCCAAGCCACCAGCCTGCGCCATAGCAACATCTCCATCTCGCTGTTGCCCTCGAAGCTGTAGTTCGAGTTCGTACATGCACTCACTGTGCGACTGCAGCTCTTCCTTCACAACGGCGATGTGTGTGAATGGGTGCGTTCTTTGGTGCACGACTGGACAGAGAGAGGTCTGACCCCGAACACTTGGGCCTCCCTGTCGCCTGCAACAAAGGTTTTAGCCCCAGGGCAGGTTAGAGCCTCGAGCCAAAATGGCTACGGATGATGATGATGATGATGATGATGATGATGATGATGATGATGATGATGATGATGATGGTGACGATGATGATGATGGTGACGATGATGATGATGATGATGATGATGATGATGATGATGATGATGATGATGATGATGATAATTATGATATTAATGATGGGAGGAAGAGGGGGCGGAGGCGGAGAGGAAGGCGGGGCGCTGTCTCTTCAAAACGAGGGCCCAAAACCAGTTGGGGAAAAACCTAGAACACCCCAAGACAATTTCCAAAATCCAGGAGGCCCTCGAGAGGCCAGAAACATTGATTTTCCTACCGGGACTGACATGGGTGTCGCTTTGCACGCTCTTTGAACAAAGAGCGGTCCACTTCCAGCCTTCGCAAGTCAAATCGGTAGCACCCATATCCCCACGATGGTCCCTATACGGCCCAGGACGGCCCCCAAGAGAGCCCCACGTTGGCCCGAGAGGGCTTCGGAGAAACCCCAGATGGCCTAAGCGGGTCCAAGACGGCCCCAACACGGCCATACGACAGCCCCAAGACGGCCCTACGACGGTCCCAAAAGACATCCCAGAGAGTACGGAGAGCCCCCAGGCGGTCCCAAAGGGCTCTAAGACAGCGCGGGAGAGCCCCAAGACGACCCAGAATGGCCCAAGAGGGCTCCAAAGGACCACCAGGGCTGTCCCAGAGGAGCCCGAGACAACCCCAAGACGACCCAGATAAGCTCCGTGAGAGCTCCTGAACTGAGAAGTTGACACGAGAGGTGTCGCATGCGACGGCCTTCGGTACTCGAAGCTTCGTTCCTCGAGACTTCGTGCTCTGAGCTGGCAACGGCGGCAGGACCTGCCGCAGGCACCTGAACACACCCGTGACCACATTAAGTATCCGCCGCCCCCTGTTGATTCATCACAGGGGTGCCTGGCGTGCTGGACGCTACCGCTTTTGATTCTGGCCCTTTCCAACAAAAACTCCCTCTGTGGCTTCGGCCCAGCGCGCAGGCCACCTGGAAGGCCGCGCAATCGCGCACAACGTCCCCAAAAAATCGTCCAAGACGGCCCAAGATGGTCTCCGAGACGGTCAAGATGGCCCAAGATGGCCTCCAAGATGCCTCCTAGACGGCCAAGGTCGCCCCAAGATCGCCCAAGAGGCCTCCAAAATGGCTCCATGACGACCCAAGAGGCCCCCAAGAGGGCCGCAAGAGGGCCAAAGAGGCCTCCAAGATGCCCAATATGATCTCCAAAACGGCCCTGACGCGCCCCCAGAGGGCCCCAAGCCGGTTCAGAGGTCCCCAAGACGGCTTCTGACGTCGTCAGACGGGTCAGGAACGCCCAAAGACTGCCAAAGAGGCCCCCAAGAAGCCCCTGAAAGGCCCAGGGAGGCTCCCATGAGGCCTCCAAAAGGCGCCGAAGAAGCTCCGCAGAGACCTCCCAAGAGGCTTCCCAAGAGGCCTCGAGAGAGGTTCCCAAGAAGTTATCACTGCGGTCATTCTCACCGACGTGTTCCTCGAAGACTTTCCAAAACAACTCGGTAGCCAGGCCACGCTCTAGTCACAACGATCAAACACCTCTCTTCTAAAAAACAGGGGGCGGCGGGGATCCGCCGTAGGCGTCTTCGATGAAGAAATACACGAAGGTAATGTAGACAAGAAAGAGCATCATCCACGTGGCATCTCCAGTCTCCACCAACGGCGCGGTGAGCTCATGCCAATTGATGCCCCCAGACACGGCCATCCAAAGACTCAGCATTGACCGGAAAAGGTCCCCGTAGAAAAGTAGCAGGTCCTCATCATCGACTCGAGTGCCACCTTTAGTATGCTGTGTCACAGCCTGCGTCAAGATGACTCCGAAGGCGAACACGATCATGATGAGCAGCATCAGCGCCCAAAAAACAGACTTGCCAGCAGAGACAATGGAGTGCACAAGCACCCGCAGAGGCTTCAATTGGCGAAATGTTCGGACGATGCGAAGAAGCCGAGTAAGGCGAAATAGGCGCAGCATCTTCGCCATTCCACCATGATCGAAGGGGTTTCGTTCGTTGCCTGCGAGCGTGTGCACGAATATATCCAAGGCAACCTCCACAAGCGCTAGGGAAAGGATGATAATGTCGAAACAATTCCACATCCTGTCTCTAGGGTGCATGACCCCTAAAACGTGTATTCGCAAGACCACTTCCACCGTGAACATAAAAGTGAGAATGTAGTTCGCGGCCGATAGGACATTTAGCAGGTGGTCCGAGTCTGAACCTTGGTGGGATAGGGCAGACAGAACCTGGGTTTCAATACCAATCAGGAGTGTGCTCATGATGATCAACAACGCGGATGCCACGGCGAAGCAGCGACTCTTTACAAATGAGGCGAAAGGCCGTTTCTCAGACTGCTGTAGCGACCTGCTTGAGGTTCTCAACCCGTCAGTGAAAGTCATCGACTTTCTGACCATATCGTTAAACTTCATCTCTGCTGTCTGAGATGCGGTGGCAGACTCGGCTGAAGACTGACTGTTCATCTTCGCGAACTGACTGCGGACATGCTTGCTGAAGATGGAGAGCTGGGATGTGGATTGGGTTTGGTTTGGGGCTCTGGTTCGTCCGTCTTCTGAGGGAGCTTCCGATATTGCGACCGATGTCCTCTCCGACCTCTGCGTGTTTGCACTATCCCTCCGCGAAAGCTTCATCGGGAAAAGGGGGATTCGATGCCGCGCCACTGTCCCACTGTTAGGCTGGGCCAAGGTGTCCCCGCCGATATAATGGCTGTTGTCGCTGAGATCCGATATCATTGAAGGCCACGTCGTCGGCGGCGGCACGGCCTCTTAGGCCCGAATGGGTACAGAAGAAATGGGCACCATGCCCAACAAATTCTTGTCCAAAACCGACAGCGGCCGCGGATGGGCAGGTGGTCGTCTGTCTCAAATGAACGGACCGGACCTCTTCGGCCGAGGTCCTGTTCCGCCGATCCTGTTCCGCTCGGTCCTGTTCCGCCGAGGTCCGCTTCCGCCCAGACCTGTTCCGCTCGGTCCTGTTCCGCCGGTCCTGTTCCGACCCGTCACATTCCGCCAGTCCTGTTCCGCCGGTCCTGTTCCGCTGGTCCTGTTCCGCCGTCGCGAGCTCACAAGCGGGGGCGCTCTCGCCGCCCGACGCGGCGGAGCAGGGCTTCGACGAAACGGGCCCTCGGCGGAACAGGTCCTCGGCGGAACCAATCCTCGGCGGAACCGGGTCTTGGCGGAACCAGGCCTCGGCGAAACCAGCCTTCGGCAGAACAGGTCTTCGGCGGAACCGGTCATAGGGTGTTAGGGTGTTCGACCTTTCGGGTGTTAGGGCGTTACGATGTGAGGGTGTTAGGGTGTTAGGATGTTAGGGTGTAGTCGTAGTAGTAGTAGTAGTAGTAGTAGTAGTAGTAGTAGTAGTAGTAGCAGCAGCAGCAGCAGCAGTAGTATTAGTATTAGTATTAGTAGTAGTAGTAGTAGTAGTAGTAGTAGTAGTAGTAGTAGTAGTAGTAGTAGTAGTAGTAGTAGTAGTAGTAGTAGTAATATTAGTAGTAGTAGTAGTAGTAGTAGTAGTAGTAGTAGTAGTAGTAGTAGTAGTAGCAGTAGTAGTAGTAGTAGTAGTAGTAGTAGTAGTAGTAGTAGTAGTAGTAGTAGTAGTAGTAGTAGTAGTAGTAGTCGTAGAATTAATAGAATTATTCCCAACCCTCCTTGGTTGGGTATTCGTTTTGAATAGAGCAGTGTGGTCGCGTCCCTTCTCCCGCCTCCCGCCTCTTCCTGTTTTGCCCGCGGGGGGCTGCGATCTGTGAAACTGTCGCCACTTTCGAGGCCTGCTGGGGGGCCCAGCACAGTGACGCCACGGGCGGACCCAAATTAGACCTCGCCATCCCTGGGGGGCTGCGATCTGTGAAACTGTCGCCACTTTCGAGGCCTGCTGGGGGGCCCAGCACAGTGAGGGCCACGGGCGGACCCAAATTAGACCTCGCCATCCCTGGGGGGCTGCGATCTGTGAAACTGTCGCCACTTTCGAGGCCTGCTGGGGGGCCCAGCACAGTGAGGGCCACGGGCGGACCCAAATTAGACCTCGCCATCCCTGGGGGGCCGCGATCTGCGAAACTGTCGCCATTTTCGAGGCCTGCTGGGGGGCCCAGCACAGTGAGGGCCACGGGCGGACCCAAATTAGACCTCGCCATCCCTGGGGGGCTGCGATCTGCGAAACTGTCGCCATTTTCGAGGCCTGCTGGGGGGCCCAGCACAGTGAGGGCCACGGGCGGATTCAAATTAGACCTCGCCATCCCTGGGGGGCTGCGATCTGCGAAACTGTCGCCATTTTCGAGGCCTGCTGGGGGCCCAGCACAGTGAGGGCCACGCGCGGATTCAAATTAGACCTCGCCATCCCTGGGGGGCTGCGATCTGCGAAACTGTCGCCATTTTCGAGGCCTGCTGGGGGGCCCAGCTGGGCGGGCGCCAGCACAGTGAGGGCCACGCGCGGATTCAAATTAGACCTCGCCATCCCTGGGGGGCTGCGATCTGCAAAACTGTCGCCACTTTCGACGCCTGCTGGGGGGCCCAGCACAGTGAGGGCCGGGGGCGGACCCAAATTAGACCTCGCCATCCCAGGGGGGCTGCGATTTGTGAAACAGTCGCCATTTTCGAAGCCTTCTGGGGGGCCCAGCACAGCGAGGGCCACGCGCAGATTCAAATTAAACCTCGCCATCCCTGGGGGGCTGCGATCTGCGAAACTGTCGCCATTTTCGAGGCCTGCTGGGGCGCCCAGCACAGTGAGGGCCACGCGCGGATTCAAATTAGACCTCGCCATCCCTGGGGGGCTGCGATCTGCGAAACTGCCGCCATTTTCGAAGCCTGCTGGGGGGCCCAGTACAGTGAGGGCCACGGGCAGATTCAAATGAGACCTCGCCATCCCTGCGGGGCTGCGATATGTGAACCTGTCGCCACTTTCGAGGCCTGCTGTGATCCCCGTTTTCGAAGTGGCTAGGAGTGCTCAGGAATTGTAACTCATCAGCTTTATCAAGCCCTTTTCCTGTAGCCAGTGTCCTGCGAGTCTCCCGAATTCCGTCTGCAGACGTATGTAACCCTCGCTCCGCCATCGCCCCCTTATAAAGTATCCTAAACTATTTGCGCCCCGCTTTTGCGCAGGGGTTGGGTACGTCGCCAGGGTAAGTATTCCCAACCCTCCTTGGTTGGGTATTCGTTTTGAATAGAGCAGTGTGGTCGCGCCCCTTCTCCCGCCTCCCGCCTCTTCCTGTCTTGCCCGCGGGGGGCTGCGATCTGTGCAACTGTCGCCATTTTCGAGGCCTGCTGGGGGGCCCAGCACAGTGAGGGCCACGGGCGGACCCAAATTAGACCTCGCCATCCCTGGGGGGCTGCGATCTGCGAAACTGTCGCCATTTTCGAAGCCTGCTGGGGGGCCCAGCACAGTGAGGACCAGGGGCGGACCCAAATTAAACCTCGCCATCCCAGGGGGGCTGCGATCTGTGAAACTGTCGCCACTTTCGAGGCCTGCTGGGGGGCCCAGCACAGCGAAGGCCACGGGCGGACCCAAATTAGACCTCGCCGTCCCTGGGGGGCGCGATCTGCGAAACTGTCGCCATTTTCGAGGCCTGCTGGGGGGCCCAGCACAGTGAGGGCCACGGCGGATTCAAATTAGACCTCGCCATCCCTGGGGGGCTGCGATCTGCGAAACTGTCGCCATTTTCGAGGCCTGCTGGGGGGCCCAGCACAGTGAGGGCCACGCGCGGATTCAAATTAGACCTCGCCATCCCTGGGGGGCTGCGATCTGCGAAACTGTCGCCATTTTCGAGGCCTGCTGGGGGGCCCAGCACAGTGAGGGCCACGCGCGGATTCAAATTAGACCTCGCCATCCCTGGGGGGCTGCGATCTGCGAAACTGTCGCCATTTTCGAGGCCTGCCTGGGGGGCCCAGCACAGTGAGGGCCACGCGCGGATTCAAATTAGACCTCGCCATCCCTGGGGGGCTGCGATCTGCGAAACTGTCGCCATTTTCGAGGCCTGCTGGGGGGCCCAGCACAGTGAGGGCCACGCGCGGATTCAAATTAAACCTCGCCATCCCTGGGGGGCTGCGATCTGCGAAACTGTCGCCATTTCGGCCTGCTGGGGGGCCCAGCACAGTGAGGGCCAGGGGCGGACCCAAATTAGACCTCGCCATCCCAGGGGGGCTGCGATCTGTGAAACTGTCGCCATTTTCGAGGCCTGCTGGGGGGCCCAGCACAGTGAGGGCCACGCGCAGATTCAAATTAGACCTCGCCATCCCTGGGGGGCTGCGATCTGCGAAACTGTCGCCATTTTCGAGGCCTGCTGGGGGGCCCAGCACAGTGAGGGCCACGCGCGGATTCAAATTAGACCTCGCCATCCCTGGGGGGCTGCGATCTGCGAAACTGCCGCCATTTTCGAGGCCTGCTGGGGGGGCCCAGCACAGTGAGGGCCACGGGCAGATTCAAATGAGACCTCGCCGTCCCTGCGGGGCTGCGATCTGTGAACCTGTCGCCACTTTCGAGGCCTGCTGTGATCCCCGTTTTCGAAGTGGCTAGGAGTGCTCAGGAATTGTAAATCATCAGCTTTATCAAGCCCTTTTCCTGTAGCCAGTGTCCTGCGAGTCTCCCGAATTCCGTCTGCAGACATATGTAACCCTCGCTCCGTCATCGCCCCCTTATAAAGTATCCTAAACTATTTGCGCCCCGCTTTTGCGCAGGGGTTGGGTACGTCGCCAGGGTAATTATTATTCCCAACCTCCTTGGTTGGGTATTCGTTTTGAATAGAGCAGTGTGGGTCGGCCCTTCTCCCCCCTCCCGCCTTCTCCTGCGTTGCCCGCGGGGGCTGCGAATGTGCAACTGTCGCCATTTTCGAGGCCTGCTGGGGGGCCCAGCACAGTGAGGGCCACGGGCGGACCCAAATTAGACCTCGCCATCCCTGGGGGGCTGCGATCTGCGAAACTGCCCCCATTTTCGAGGCCTGCTGGGGGGCCCAGCACAGCGAGGGCCAGGGGCGGACCCAAATTAAACCTCGCCATCCCTGGGGGGCTGCGATTTGTGAAACAGTCGCCACTTTCGAGGCCTGCTGGGGGGCCCAGCACAATGAGGGCCACGGGCGGACCCAAATTAGACCTCGCCATCCCTGGGGGGCCGCGATCTGCGAAACTGTCGCCATTTTCGAACTCTGCTGGGGTGCCCAGCGCAGTGAGGGCCACGCGCGGACCCAAATTAGACCTCGCCGTCCCTGGGGGGCTGCGATCTGCGAAACTGTCGCCATTTTTCGCGGCCTTTGGGGGGGCCCAGCACAGTGAGGGCCACGGGCGGATCCAAATTAGACCTCGCCATCCCTGGGGGGCTGCGATCGGTGAAACTGTCGCCATTTTCGAGCCCTGCTGGGGGGCCAGCACAGTGAGGGCCACGGGCGGATTCAAATTAGACCTCGCCATCCCTGGGGGGCTGCGATCTGCGAAACTGTCGCCATTTTCGAGGCCTGCTGGGGGGCCCAGCACAGTGAGGGCCACGCGCGGATTCAAATTAGACCTCGCCATCCCTGGGGGGCTGCGATCTGCGAAACTGTCGCCATTTTCGAGGCCTGCTGGGGGGCCCAGCACAGTGATGGCCACGCGCAGATTCAAATTAGACCTCGCCATCCCTGGGGGGCTGCGATCTGCGAAACTGTCGCCATTTTCGAGGCCTGCTGGGGGGCCCAGCACAGTGAGGGCCACGCGCGGATTCAAATTAGACCTCGCCATCCCTGGGGGGCTGCGATCTGTGAAACTGTCGCCATTTTCGAGGCCTGCTGGGGGGCCCAGCACAG